CGTGTTTGTGCTTGCCGCACGCACGTCCCTCCTCCTCCTCTGCTGAAAGCTCGGGCTGCTGAAGGGTTTCACGAAGCGAGGAGCGGGGCCAGGGCTGCGCATCCCCCAGGTACAGCGGGCCGTCAGGTGGGCTTTGCAGAGCCGTGCACCCATGGTGCAACACGGGATGCTTGATCCCAGCAGTGCTTACAGCCCCTGTGGGATGGGAGTGGGGCAGCTTTGCGCCATGGCCACCCATTCTTGAAGGCTGGCCGGATTTCTGCACCCTGCTTGCGAGGCAGAGGAACTGGGCGAGGGGGAAGTTCCCACTGGGGTTGATGGGAGACGTGCTGGAGGGCACTGTGCCCTGTCCCCCTGCAAGCAGTGCCGTCAGGGTGTGAGGGGCTGCAGAGCACAGCTCGGCCCCACATGGGTACTCGGGTGGGTGGCGAAGTGCTGCCGGCACAGGGAGAGGCTCAGCACAGCCTCAGGCGTTTCTGCCACAGCCCACGCACTTTTCCTTCCCAGGTGAGTCCACGTCCCTTCTTTCCTTTACCTTATGTTCTTTCTTTTCCTTTCCCCTTCCTCTCTTCTCCTTTCCCCTTGGCCTCCTTTTTATCCCTTCCTCTCCTTTTTATCCTTTCCATCCCTCCCCTTTCTGCTGGAGCACCGCTTGCCTACAGCCGTTCTTTTGGCATTGCCCGGCCGGCCGCAGCGCCAATCTGGTAGCTGAGCGCCTGCACGAGAGGAGTCAGCTGTGTTGGACTGAAGCCGCTCCAAGAAACAAAAATAGCGCCACGTTTTTTTTTCCCCTTTTTTTTTTTTTTTTTCTTTTTCCTTCAAAGAGCTTTTCTCCCCTCCCTCGCTGCCGGTCGGAGCAGCCTGACGCAGCCTGGCAAGCCGTTCTCCCTTCCTCTTGCCAAATGCTGGTTCCCGGCTCAGTGCCGCGATGGGAACGCCAGCCCTGCGCAGCTCCTGAGGAGCTGATCTGGCTGTGCTGGTGCTGAGCGTCCCGTAGTGCTGTGCCCCGCAGGTTCCTCCTTTTGCCCAGCTGGAGAGGGACCTCAGGGGCCGCTTGCGTGCGCGGGGATGAATGTTCCAACCCGGCTTTGAAAGGCATCCAGGGTGGATTAAGAACAGATGCCGGCGCGCAGCTGCTCTCCGTCAGGGCGATTTTGGAGGAGCTGCATCCAGGCACTCAGCTCCCCTTTGCTCCACACATTGCCGCTGGGCAATCCTGCTCCCAAACACCTTTGGTTTCCCATCCTTTTCTCTTGCTTTGATCTGCTTTCCCTTTGCTTGCAGCTTGGCTGGGCTGGGAAAATGCTTTTCCTGGAGCCCCACCAGAAGGGATGGGGTTGGAGACGTTTTCTGGTGGAGAAAAATTCCCTGTCCCTATTGCAGGCTCCTGGTGCAGGAGCAGTGTGAATATGTGTCATTAAACCAGCTTGGAAAAGAGGATGAAATGCTTGCCCCTATGGCATTCAGAGCAGGATTATGGCTCTGGGGGTCCCTGAGAGGCCTACGGAAGCAGGGATGGGTTCCCTGCAACACAGCCCTGCCGTAGCTCTGCCTTTCCGCCGGGCTAAATGAGGACAGGAGCGAGCGGCTCAAACCCAGTGCTGGGGTCAGCTGGGGCCACGGAAACAGCTTGGAAAACAAGCGAGCGGCTGGGAGCGTCGGGAGGGGCTCCATGGCTCTCCAGTTTGCTTTCCCAGGGCTGTCGCATCCGTGCCACCGGGCTCCTCTCCAGCATCCCCCGCTGCCGGCACCTTGGTGGCATTGGGCGGCTTTCCGTGCCCGCTGTGGCTGAGCGGCACATCCATCCCCAGGGCGTGCTGCCGGCCCCCTGCCCTTCCTTTGGGCTGTGCTCAGGGATGCTCGTCCACATTGGGCTTCCCCATCCCGCGGGGGCCCCACGGTGCCCCAGAGCACGGAGGATCCCGGGGCTGCTGCCAGGGGAAGAAAACCACGAGCGCGGCACGGGGCCGGCAGCCAAACAGCCGCCTGCCTCTTGGCCGGCCCCAGCCGCTGGCGCTGGCAACACTGCTGACCTCCCGAGCACCCTGCCGTGCCCTGGCTATGCCAGCACTGCATCCATCCCTCCCCCTAACCCCCCCCCTCCCCCCCCCCCAAAAAAATCCCGTGCTGTGCATCGCCACATCTGGGCGCCTCCATCCCCCAAATCCTGCTCTTGCAATGGAATGATCTGTGGTGGGATGAAGTGCTCGGCTGCTCCAAGCCCAACGCCTGCAAAATCAGTTGAGATGCGTGTGTGTAGGGGGAGGTTTACAAATACCCCAAGCACCCAGATAAGGGATTGCTGCTTCAGCCCCCAGTTCATGGGGCTGGATGGGCCTCATTGGGTGGCTTTGGGTGCTGGGGATGAGGACCAATCCTTTACCTGGTGTTGAGGTTGCTGTTTCCCAAATGTGTGGTTTGGGACAAACAGGAGCACAGCAGAACGCTGCCTGCTTCTCCAGGGCGCCTTCGCTCCATGTTTCATATAGGGCCAGGGGGAGATATGGCATAATAACATAAAAAATAGGGAGGGAGAGGCAAAAAAAAAGAAAAAGGCCTTGTGGTGGCTGTGGCACTGCAGCTGGGGACACTGCCATGGGTCCCCCATGGGATGCTGCTGTTCGTGTAGGTTCCTGCTGTTTGTGTAGGGGGTTCCTGTATGGCTTGCCAGGTCTGTGGGTCTGCTGGGTACGGCGCTTGCTGGATGAGACTAGCGTGAGTTTGTAGGGTTGCCGGTTGTGTAGGGTTGCAGGTAACACAGTTCTGTAGGGTTGCAGACGGCTGATGGTTGCTGGTCGTAATTTGCTGAGCATACAGAGGGATGTAGGAGTGCTGGATGTGTAGGGCTGCCGATCGCATGGTGTTGTGTGTCAGTGTGTGGAGCTGCAGGATCTATAGGGCTGTGGGATATATGGGGCTGTGGGATGTATGGGCAAAGGGATCTGCAGAGCTGTGGGATATGGGTTGTGGGATGCACGGGGCTGTGGGGTGTACAGAGGTGTGGGTTGTACAGGGCTGGGGGGATGTATGGGCTGGGAGGTATACAGGGCTGCAGGATGTATGTGTGGGATGCACAGAGCTTTGGGATGTACGGGTTGTGAGATTCACGGGGCTGTGGGATGCATGGACTGTGGGATGTATTGGTTATGGAATGCATAGGGTTGTGCGATTATGGGATGCACAGACTGTGGATGTATGGGGCTGGGGAATGGATGGGCTATAGGGTGTATGGGTTATGGAATGCAGGGGTTATGGGATGTACGGGTTATGGGATGTACAGGTTATGGGATGCAGGGGTTATGGGATACACGGACTATGGATGTATGGGGCTGGGGGATGCATGGCTTATGGGATGCAATGAGTTATGGGATGTACGGGACGCGCGGAGCCGCGGGGCGCTGAGGCTGCGGGCTGTACGCGTGACACGTGCCGGCTCTCGGGAGCCGTCCGTGCGGTCCGGGGGCTGCGGGGCCGAGCTCACGTTCCCCCCCCCAGTCCCCCTTACCACCCCCCACCCCCTCCTTCCCCGCCCGTACGTGCGCGCGGCGCCGGGGCTGATGGCTCCTGCAGCTGCCGCGGGGGGCGGGGAGCCGCGGCCGGGCGCGGTGCGGCGCGGAGCAGCGCGGGCGCCTCCGTCCCTCCGAGGGCGCCTCCGTCCCTCCGCGCCGCCGCCGCCGCTCCCCCGCAGCGTAAGTGCCGCGCCGCGGCCGCGCCGGTCCCGGTGGCTGCGGAGGAGCGCGGCGCGGGCCGGGGGTACCCGGCGGGGTCGGTGCGTGCCGCGGCCTTTTTTGTTTTCCTTCCGCCCAAAGCATTGAAAACAGAAAGAGGGAAGGGGGGCAGGGGGGGAAATAATAATAAATAAATGAAGCGGAGATAATTTTTAGTTCCTCGGAGGGATTTTCCCCTCTTTTCACGACGCGCGGACGGGGCCGCTCCGCACCGCGGCGTTCCGGTTCCCCCCCCCCGGGCGGTGGGTGCGCACGGGTGGGTTCCTCGCGGCGGCGTTGGGGGGGAATCGCTGTTGGTTTCGGGATGGAATCCCGCGCCCCCCCCTCTCCCAACCACCCCCCCCCCCCCCCCCCCCCGGGGGGGCCGGGAACAAAAGGGGCGCGGCGGGAGGCGGCGTGCAGCCCCGCGTGTTCTCCCCCCCCCACCTCGGTCGGATGAACCGCAGGGGCGGCCCTCGTGGGGAAGCCTCCAACCGGGACCGGGCCACGCGTGCGGGAGTTCCTGCGTGGGGGGGCGGGTAGTGGGGGATCCCTTTCCTCCCCACTGCGGAGGGGCCGTGGGAAGAGCAGACGGGGTCGCTGCCAATGGGGTTCGCCCCTCCTTTTCCCCCCGGGGGGATGTTTGAGGCGAGGAGGACTCGAGATGCTCCTCTCTGCTTCCACGGGGGTTTTGCTCTGCCTGTTGCTCCCTCTCTCCCTGCTTGTATGCAGCCCTGGAAAGGGGTGAAGGCATCCCCTGGCCCCGCATGGGGCTCTCCTATTAGTGACAAACCACAAAATGCTCTGCATCCCATCCTGTGTGGCACTGAGACTCCCACTATGGGCACAGAGATGCCACCTCCCCTTCCCCCCCGTGTCATGCACCCACTGGGACGATGGGCTCCAGACCCCCTTCTCTCCTTTCTGCCCCACTCCTTGCTCAGTGTCCCATCGCTGCGGTGCTGAGCTGAGGTCCCAGAGAGCACAGCTCCTTGTGGGCCTTTGGGATGTGGGGACGGGAGGAGCACAGGGGCACCTGCAGCTGTGCTGGGATGGACGGGGGGGTGGTAGGCTGTGGGGTGGGATACGGGGCGCAGGATTTTGCAGGGGTTACTCACACCTCTCCTCTCTCCCCGCTCTCAGACAGGTCCGGGGGGCGATCCGGTTGATGGCCCCAGAAGAGGCCCAATGGAAGAAGGGCTGATCGACTATGGCGGCGAGAGGACGCTGAGCGAGGGCGGCCGGCTGGGCCTGGCCGCTGGGGGCCGGCCGCAGGCGGGGGGCAGCGCGCTGATGGAGCCCAGCGGGTGGCTGCCCGGCCCCCCTGCCGGCCCCGCACGTCTGGAGGACGCCCGCAACCTGGTGGCCTTCTCGGCGGTGGCCGAAGCGGTGTCCTCCTACCGGCTGCCCGCCCCAGCTTCGCCCTCGCTACTCTACAAGAAGTTTGACACCGAGATGAGCCGGGGGGGGGCTGGCGCCGCGGGACGGCGTGCCAAGGGGGGAGGACCTGCACGCCCTCAAGGCCGCCCTCGCCCTGGCCAAACACGGCATGAAGCCCCCCAACTGCAACTGCGACGGCCCCGAGTGCCCTGACTACCTGGAGTGGCTGGAGCAGAAGATCCAGGTGGCCTTGGGAGAGGCCCCGCTGCCCCACGCCCCGCCGCCCCCCGACAAAGGTGCTATCGCTCCCCCCGCGGTGCTGGAGGCCGCCGAGCCGTGCCCGTCGGACGGCCTCCCCTTTTCCCAAAGTGCACTGAATATTGCCAAGGAGAAGAACATCAGCCTGCAGACGGCCATCGCCATCGAGGCGCTGACGCAGCTCTCAGCCACGCTCCCTCAACCCGGTGCTGATGGGCCACCCCCCCCCGCGGCGCCGGCGGCGGCCCCCCCCGGGGCCCCCTGCCCCCCCGGAGCCATCCATTGACGTGGTGCCTCCGTCTGGGACCACTGACCCTATGGCGGAGCTGGAGCAGCTCCTGGGCAGCACCGAATACATCGCTGTGGCCTTCAAGCGGCCCGAGGCTGGCAGAGCCCCCCCTGCAGCAGCCCCAAAGCCCCCGGATCGGACGCCGGGCAAGGAGACGGCAAGCAGCCCCCACGTGCTGCAGGAGCCCGACCTGCACAGGAAGACACAGATGGTCCTGCAGCAGCACCTGCACCACAAGCGCAGCCTTTTCCTCGAGCAGAGCCTCTCCGCGACCCCCCCGGAGCGCCCACCTGGCTGGTGGACCCCCAGCACGCCCAAGACCTTTGAGAAGCAGGCCAAGGAGAAGAAGAAAAGGATGCAGCCAGACAAGCCAGCCCGCAAGCAGGTGCAGATCAAGAAGCCCAAGCAGAAGGATTCACAGCCGCTCTTCCTGCCCTTCTGGCAGATCAGCCTGGAGGGACTGCGGACCCCCGCCGAGCCCCCCGCCACAGCGCCGCAGCCCGAGCCCCCACCGCCCACCCCGTGCCCACCCACTGCTTCCGACTCTCAGGAAAGGGGAACCCCTGGGGGGGACACCCACAGCCACCCGCTGGCGCCAGGCCCGGAGGGGGCGCCGCCCGCCATGGTGGACGACAAGCTGGAGGAGCTTATCCGGCAGTTCGAGGCCGAGTTCGGGGACACCTTCAGCCTGCCGCCCACCGGGACCACCGCGCTGCCAGAGGGGCAGCTGCCAGCCCCGCAGGTGCCCCCCACCACCGCCAGCACCGCCGCTGTGGCCCCCAGCAGTGCTGGCCCTGGGGGATCCGCACTGTCTCCGGAGAAGGGACCTCCCCCAGAGCACCTCTTCTCCGTGCGCTCGCCCAAGCAGATCAAAATCGAGTCCTCTGGTGCTATCACCGTGGTGTCCACCACGTGCTTTTACTCTGAGGAGAGCCAGAACGCCGATGAGGCGGAGGGGACGCCCACCAAGGATGAGGTGCCGCTGACCCCCACCCTCAGCGGGTTCCTGGAGTCGCCTCTCAAATACCTGGACACGCCGACCAAGAGCCTGCTGGACACCCCCGCCAAGCGTGCGCAGGCCGAGTTCCCCACCTGTGACTGTGTGGGTGAGTGGGGGCACGGGGGTGTGGGGGTGATGCCTGGTGCTGGGGCTGCGCCGTGATGCTGGGAGGTCCTTCGGTGGGGCTGGGAACGTCGCCCCGGTAACACCTGGGGGGCACGGAGGCTGCTCTGCAGCTTTAGTGGAACTTGTCTTTATGGCCAAACCCTGCAGCTGCGTTGGCTGCAGGCAAGTTTGGGCTTTCTTCCCTCTTGCTTTCATGGCCAGGTGGTCAGTGGCGAGTGAACGCTTGATCCACGTGTTTTTGTGCTGGATTTGTTACACTTTGCAGCACAGTATTTGCAGCCCGGCTCCTTCCACCGTGCCCTTCTCCCATGGGCTCTGTTTTCTCAAGAAAAAGCCATAAGAGAAAGCAATTAAGTGGGAGGTGGGGCTCAGTGCTCCATGAGGTGCCCGTGCTGTTGGATGCTGCGATGCAGTCGGCTGTTGCTGTGCATCCTGCACTGATCCCTGCCTGGGAAGCTGCAGCAGAGCTGCTGAACATGATGGGAATGAAAATCAGTGCTGGGAGCAGAGGATGGGCTGAGGCACGTCTGACCCTATTCTGTGGGTCCTACCCCTGCACTGCCCTTTGCTTCCCCCTATGACCTCTCTGTTCCCATAGATCTCCCAGTTTCCCCCAGTGCTGTCAGGAGCTGTAAAACCAGAGCAAAACTCTCTCAGCCCTAAAACACTCAGTGCCAAAATAGTGCAGTCAGGATTGAGGCTTGTGCTCTGTCAGTGAGGAGGTGCCTGATTTTTCATGCAAAAGTGCTTCATTTGAGGGAATTTGACATCTGGGGGATGTGGTTCCCAGAGGACACCCCGACATCTCTGTTCCTCCCCCCCCCCCCACGCCTTTTCCTGCAGAGCAAATCGTGGAGAAGGACGAGGGGCCGTACTACACCCACCTGGGCTCGGGGCCCACCGTGGCATCCATCCGGGAGCTGATGGAGGAGCGGTAAGGGACCCCACCCCAACCCCTTGCAGGACCCGACATCGGACCGGGCCATGGGCTGTCGGAGAGGGGCTTGGGGTTTTCAGAGGGCAGAGGGGGGACGTGTGTGGGGTGAGGCCTCAGCAGGACACTAGTGAGTGATGTGGGTCTGCCCACAGGTACGGCGAGAAGGGCAAAGCCATCCGCATCGAGAAGGTCATCTACACTGGGAAGGAGGGGAAGAGCTCCCGGGGCTGCCCCATCGCCAAGTGGGTGAGTGAGTGCCTGCAGCCCCCAGACCCTTTGGGGCATCAGCAGTGCAGAAGTGGCCCCAGGAGTCCCCGGGGCTGTACATCGCTCTCCATCAGTGCCATTCAGTCAAACGTGGGTTAGGGGGAGCGAAACAGCCCCGGGCTCAGGGCTTCTGTCCCACCTCTGCCATTCTCAGCGTAATGCTGCTGTCTGTCCCCTCTCTGCTTGGGGACAGGGAGGTCCCCACTGTTGGTAGTCGTGGAGATCAGGACAGGATGCTCAAGATGTAGCAGTGAAGGGCAAAGCAAAAGTGGCAGCCACTCCTGGGAACCTCTGCAGGGCTTCCCACACTCATAGAACCATGGAATCATAAAATCAATAAGATTGGGAAAGACTGCTAAGACCCTCTAATCCAGCCATTGACCCAGCACCCAAAGTGCTCACCCAGTGACATCCACCGAGTGCCGTGGGCCTTGGGGTCACTCTGGTACCCCAAAGACCATGGGGAACAACATATCCAGGGTTGTTCCTGCGGCTCTCTTCTCTGTGTTGCTGTGGGACGGTGCAGAGGCAGCCAGCACCCACTGGTGGAGACCTGTGTGCCAACTGGACCCGGCTGTTTGACAGGTGATCCGGAGACACAACCAAGAGGAGAAGCTGCTATGCCTGGTGCGTCACCGAGCTGGCCACCACTGCCAGAATGCTGTCATCATCATCCTGATCCTGGCCTGGGAGGGCATCCCCCGCACGCTGGGCGACACGCTGTACCAGGAGCTCACTGACACCCTCACCAAGTACGGCAACCCCACCAGCCGCCGCTGCGGCTTAAATGACGAGTAAGTGTCAGTGGGTCACCACACCGGCTTGGGGACGTGGGTCAGAAGGGGACACAGGCGTCCTCCCATGTTTCTCACTCAGCGGGGCAGCTGTCAACCCTGCAACCCATGGGGAGGGGGATGCTGTCGGTGCGGTGGTGACTGATGCTCCTCCTCACTGTCACTCCTGCAGCCGGACTTGTGCGTGCCAAGGCAAGGACCCCAACACCTGCGGCGCTTCCTTCTCCTTCGGCTGCTCTTGGAGCATGTATTTTAATGGCTGCAAATATGCTCGAAGCAAAACTCCACGGAAGTTCAGGCTGGTGGGGGACAATCCCAAGGAGGTGAGTGGCATGATAGGACTGGGGAGAGAGGGGGGGGTTTCCTTTTAGCCCTGACTCCAAGTTTTGGGAGGAGAAAGTCTGAAAATAGGGTCCCTTGTAGTAGTTTTGGTGAACTGGGGAGAAAAAACGACGACCTGACCTGGTAAGGCTCTCACTGATATCTCAGGGCATTGCTGCCAGGTGTGACAAATGGGGCCTCCCTAGAAACCCCAGAGAGGTGCAGGAGAACTCTTGTGTTGTGCTGTTAGAAGCACAACAGACTGAGGCTGGGGGTTGAGTAGCCCAGATGTCACCAGACACTGAGGCTGTGTGCTTTGTGTGATGGCAGACAAGGTTGGACACAGTGTGACGTGCATGGGCTGCATCCCTGACTGCATCCCTGCTGCCAAAACCCTTGGGTGATGTCCTCTTGTGTACAAACGCCCAGTTTTCTCTATTGCAGGAAGAGCTGCTCCGGAAAAGCTTTCAGGACTTGGCCACTGAGGTTGCTCCGCTTTACAAGAGGCTGGCACCACAGGCCTACCAGAATCAGGTACCCAACCACCCACCCTCTGCTGGGCTCTGCAGCCTGGCGGCCAGCAGAATGGGAGCCGGGTGGCAGCATGCAGTAACCAGAGCCTTCTTGTTCTGCTAGGTTACCAACGAGGATATCGCAATAGACTGCCGGCTGGGCTTGAAGGAGGGGAGGCCATTTTCAGGGGTGACAGCATGCATGGACTTCTGTGCTCATGCTCACAAAGATCAGCATAACCTCTACAATGGCTGCACAGTGGTACGTAGGCACTGGTGAGGCTTTTTGGGATGGTTTCCCTTTTTGAGCTGCGTGGTGTCCAGCTGATCCTGTAGGGAGCATTTTGAGGCAGATATCTGAGTCACTGTCACCTCAGATTGGTGGCTGATCCTCTGTGCTTGCACTCACGGAGCAATTTGCTTTTCGATGCTTCAGTCCTTCAAATTGAAGCATTCGTGTCTGCAAGGTGCTGAAGCTGTCCCCACCAGATGTAAGCAAGGCACCAACGGGAGCTGCACGTTTGCTGTTGTCTGACCCAAACCCCATGGGAAGTTTCCAGACAGCAGCAGGGGAGCAGAGAGGGCTGGGGGATGCACACTGCTGCAAGCCTGGGGTGTGGACTGGTGTTGAGTCAGGGCTGTCACCATTGTCCCCCTTGGGCTGCATTTGTCAGCATCTCTAGAGCTTGGCAGCCCCGTCCCCTCATGGCCTCCTGCACTCCCCCAGGTCTGCACGCTGACAAAGGAAGACAATCGCGTGGTGGGGAAGATTCCCGAAGATGAGCAGCTGCACGTCCTCCCCCTCTACAAGATGTCCAGCACGGATGAGTTTGGCAGCGAGGAGAACCAAAACGCGAAGGTGGGCAGCGGGGCCATCCAGGTGCTCACATCCTTCCCCCGCGAGGTGCGTAAGCTGCCTGAACCCGCCAAGTCCTGTCGGCAGAGACAGCTGGAGGCAAAGAAAGCCGCAGCGGAGAAGAAGAAACTGCAGAAGGAGAAGCTGATGACGCCAGAGAAGATCAAGCAGGAAGCGCTCGAACTTCCTACACTCCAACAAAATGCAGGTAATGGGGACAGTGCTGAGATCGCACAGCCCCAAGCTATCCAGAAAGCAGTGAGGGGATGAGGATGTTCCCTTGTGGCTCTGGGAGGTGTAATGGTTGGGGGCTTTCTTGAGCGCTGCACCAGCAGTGCTGCGTGTAAGTTGGCATTACCAGCTTATGCTGTGGGGTCTGGCTTTGCACTGTGGATTTTGTGGTGCCCATGCTTTTGCTGAAGCTCAGCATGTGGGTGCAAATTGCTGCCAGCGCACGGGGTAATGCCAGTCACAGCCAGGCTCTGACTCAGCCAGCGGTCCTGTTGCTGTTGGATTTTTGAGGCTGACTGGCTTTTTTGGATCCTCAGTTCCTTCTGGTGTCTCCTCGGCCAGCTGGTCATGGTGGTTGTGTGTGCTGTGCCCACAGGTATGGCGTTGAAAAGTGGGCTCTCCCCACAGCCGCTGAAACCTTCCATCAAAGTGGAGCCGCAGAGCCATTACAACGCCTTCAAGTACAACGGCAATGCGGTGGTGGAGAGCTACTCGGTGCTGGGCAGCTGCCGGCCCTCCGATCCTTACAGCATGAACAGTGTTTACTCTTACCATTCCTACTATGCACAGCCCAATCTGCCTTCCGTGAACGGGTTTCATTCCAAGTTCACACTGCCCTCCTTTGGGTATTACGGTTTTTCCAACAACCACGTGTTCCCCTCGCAGTTTCTGAATTACGGGGTGCCCGAGAGGGGCGAGAGCTGGGTGAGCAACAGCTACGAGAAGAAGCCCAACATTCAGGTGCTGCAGGAGAACCTCAACCATACCTACAGGAACACAGATTTCCCCGAGCCCATCCCACACAGCGTCCGGAGCAAAAACCATCACCAGCGCACCTACGAGCGGGCCAGCCGCTATGCCAGCCAGCAGAAGACGGCTGCGGCCGGGGTGCACAGGACTAGCACAGGCTCGGAGGAGGCATCGCCGTTTGCACAGAACTGTTTTGGCAGCAGGGCCATCAAGCAGGAGCCCCCGGACCCTCCGCCCAGCATCGAGCCCCTGAGCAACCCTGCGGCAGCCGTGCCCGGCACCGGCCTGGCTCTACCCGCTGTCCCCGTACCGGAGCAGCAGTGGAGTCCTTACAAAACGTCGTCCCGAGGTTCGTCTTCCCCCGAGCGGACTAGTGCGGCTGAGAGCTCGTGGAGCAGCCTGGTGCCAGGCGCCGGAGGACGGGAGAAGCTGAGCGCCTTCGATGCTGCCGTGCGCCTGCCGCTGCCGGAGAAGCAGTGGCCCAATGTCCTGGCAGAAGAAGCGTCGTCGTCGTGCAGTTCCAGCTTGCTGCCGAAGCCGTGGAGCCCTTGCAAGCTGGGGGAGACGGTGCTGGGCGGTGCGGGTACCCCGACCCTGCGGGACAAGGGCTGGGAATTGGGACCGCTGGGCTTCGGCTCGGCCCTGCCGGAGCTGCCTGTCTTCTCTGAAGAGCCGTGGGGTTCTGGCAAAGCGGAGGAGCGGAGGACGCCGGCACCCACGGCGGGGCTGCCTGAAAAGCCATGGGAGGCAGCGGTGCGTGAGAAGGGGGCAGCAGGGGTCCGTCAGGAGAAGCCGTGGGATCCTTTTGGGCTGGAGGAGGGCATCGAGGAGGCGTCGGTGAAGGCGGTGAAGGAGGAAGAGGAGGAGGAGGAAGAAGAGGAAGAGGAGGAGTGGTCAGACAGCGAGCACAACTTCCTGGACGAGAACATCGGCGGCGTGGCCGTGGCGCCCGCGCACGGCTCCATCCTCATCGAGTGCGCCCGCCGCGAGCTGCACGCCACCACCCCGCTGAAGAAACCCAACCGCTGCCACCCCACCCGCATCTCCCTGGTCTTCTACCAACACAAGAACTTGAACCAGCCCAACCACGGCCTGGCGCTGTGGGAGGCCAAGATGAAGCAGCTGGCGGAGCGCGCCCGCGCACGGCAGGAGGAGGCGGCGCGCCTGGGGCTGCAGCAGGACGCCAAGGCCTTCGCCAAGAAGCGCAAGTGGGGCGGCGCGCTGGCGGCCGAGGCGGCCACCAAGGAGCGGAGGAACGCGGTCCCCACGCGGCAGGCGGTGGCCATCCCCACCAACTCTGCCATCACTGTGTCCTCCTACGCGTACACCAAGGTGACGGGGCCCTACAGCCGCTGGGTCTGAGGCGGAGGCGGCCGCCGCAGCCCTTCTTACCTCAAAGTCGGCAGCACTGGAGTCCCGGTGCTGCTTCGTGGTGCTTTCTCCTCGGGCATGGGGGAGAAGAAAAAAAAAAAAAAAAAAAAAA